AAAACGAATCTATACAGAGTAAGGACTTACATGTGAAAAACAAGACTTCAAGGTTTGAGGAGAAGATATAGTAGAATAGATCTCTGATGCTGAGCTAGGGAAGAATTTCTTTTTGTGTGTGTGCTCATCACATTTTACTTACCAAATAAATATTGGAGAAATAAAAAATTAATATCATGTTTTCATATACAATCACCATTATAAAATGTAAGTGATTTGAAGGCAGCACAGTCCTGTAGGCAAAAGCCATGACTGAAAGTGTGACCCACCTGACTTTGAATGCAAGTGCTGACATTTATTCACTTATAAACTTGGAAGATTTCTTTATATATATATAAATTTTTTTTTTTTTTTTGAGACAGAGTTTTGCTCTGTCGCCAGGTGCCAGGTGGAGTGCAGTAGCGCGATCTCGGCTCGCTGCAACCTCCGCCTCCTGGGTTCAGGCAATTCTTCTGCCTCAGCCTCCCAAGTAGCTGGGACTACAGATGCGAGCCACCACACCCAGCCAATTTTTATATTTTAGTAGAGACGGAGTTTCACTATGATGGCCAGAATGGTCTCGATCTCTTGATCTCGTGATCTTCCCATCTCGGCCTCCCAAAGTTCCGGGATTACAGGTGTGAGCCACCGTGCCCAGCCTATATATATTTTTTAATTGTACTTTAGGTTCTGGGGTACATGTGCAGATCATACAGGATTGTTGCATAGGTACATACATGGCAATGTGGTTTGCTGCCTCCATCCCCCCATCACCTATATCTGGCATTTCTCCCTCCCCAACCTCCCCACTCCCTACTGTCCCTCTCCTAGTCCCCCTCAACAGACCCTAGCGTGTGATGCTCCCCTCCCTGTGTCCATGTGTTCTCATTGTTCAATACTCACCTATGATTGAGAACATGTGGTGTTTGATTTTTTGTTCTTGTGTCAGTTTGCTGAGAATAATGGTTTCTGGATTCATCCATGTTCCTACAAAGGATACAAACTCATCGTTTTTTATGGCTGTGGGAAGAATTTCTTAAGACACAAAGAGCCCTAACTGAATAAGATGAATACATGTGAGTTCATGAAAATTAAGACTTCTGGTTATTCAAAAGCACCGTAAAGACATCAGGCCTGGGTGTGATGGCTCATGCCTGCAATCTCGCTACATTGAGAGGCTGTGGCAGGAGGATTGCTTGAGTCCAGGAGACCAGCTTGGGTAACAAAATGAGACTCTGTCTCTCCAAAAAATAAAAAATTATCCAAGTGTGGCAGCATGCACCTGCAGTCCCAGCTTCTCAGGAGGCTGAAGTGGGAGGATAGTTTTAGCCTAGGAGGTTGAGGCTGCAGTGAGTCTGTACTCCAGACTGAGCAACAGAGTGAGACCCTGTCAAAAAAAGGAAGAAGGAAGGAAGGAAGGAAGGAAGGAAGGAAGGAAGGAAGGAAGGAAAGGGAGAGAGAGAGGGACAGAGGGAGGGAGAGAAGAAGGAAAGGGAAGGAAGGAAGGAGGGAGGGAAGGAGAGAAGGAAGGAGGGAAGGAAGGAGGGAAGGAAGGAGGGAGGTAATGAGGGAGGGAAGGAGGAAAGGAAGGTAGGAAGGAGGGAGGGAAAGAGGGAAGGAAGGAGGAAAGGAAGGAAGGAAGGAGGGAAGGAAGGAAGGAAGGAGGGAAGGAAGGAGGAAAGGAAGGAAGGAGGGAAGGAAAGAAGGAGGGAAGGAGGGAAGGGAGGGAAAGAAAAAGTACAGGCCACAAATTGTGAGCTATTCAAAAGATAATCACAATGCATATTATGAATAACATGCAGACTGCATGAGCAGCTCTACAATGACAAAAAGAAAAAAAACCATGCAGACTGCATTAAGAATTTCTACATATCAATAAGTAAAAGGCAGACAACCCAACAGAGAAAAAAGAATAAAAGACACAAAGATTAACTTGTACGCCCAATAAACGTGGGGGCATATCCTAAACCTTACTAGAAATCAGGGAAATGCAAATCAGCAACACGATATCATTTTGTACCCAATTGGTTGGCAAAAAATTAAGGCTGACAGTAACAAGTTGGAGAGAAGGTGAATAAATGGAAGTCCACATACATTGCCGGTAGGAGTGCCAATTTGAGCAATCACATTAGAAAACTACTCAGCATTCTTTTATAAAGTTAGGCATATCTTAACATATCCTGTGACCTAGCAATCCTACTCCTAGAGAAACTCTGCACACATACTTAATATAGAGCTTAGGCATACATCCACATGGATACAGGTATTAAGCAAAGAACAAAGGAATGAGAAACACATTCTGAGCCACCATGTTCTCACCTGGAAAGTTCAGGAAATGCTTTGTCCTGCCAGGATGGCTGCGGATTGCAAGCAAGGAAATGTATGGTAATAAAAGCTCTTTGAGGGCCGGGTGCAGTGGCTCATGTCTATATAATTGCTAATGCTTTGGGAGGTTTAGGTGGGAGGATCACTTGAGACCAAGAGTTGGAGACCAGCCTGGGCAACACAGCAAGGCCCTGTCTCATTAAAAAAATATAATATGAAAAATTAGCCAGACCTAGTGGTACAGGCCTGTAGCTCCAGCTACTTGGGAGGCCAAGGCTGGAGGATCACTTGACCCCAGGAGTTTGAGGCTGCAGTGAGCTACGATTGCACCACTGCACTCAAGCCTGGGCAACAGAGCAAGATCCTGTCTCTAAAGACAACAAAAAATAAAAATTAAAAATACAGCTCTTTGAGAACTGTGATGTGGAACAAACTGAAGAATCAACTTCCACTTCTCCCACTGCCAAAAATTTTTTGTTCTTGTAGCAGAAGCTAACCTGCTCCCCCCAACCCACGACCCTGCACAGGGTTAAAGGTGAGGGAGGGTGGTAAGGCTGGCAGGACATCAGGGGAACCATGGGGGAATGAGGTAGGGGCTCCCTTTGGACCTCACTCATTTTTTTTTTTTTTTTTGAGATGGGGTCTCACTCTGTTACCCAGGCTGGAGTGCAGTGGTGCAATCTCAGCTCACTGCAACCTCCACCTCACCTTCCTGAATACCTGGGACTACAGGTGTGTGCCACCACACCTGGTTAAAGTTTTGTATTTTTGGTAAAGACAGGGTCTCACCATGTTGCCCAGGCTGACCTCAAACTCCTGAGCTCAAGCAATTCGCCCGCCTCGGCCTCCAAAAGCGAAGTGATAAGCATCAGCCACTGCGCCTGGCCAGGCTTCACTTTCTCACCAGCCTTCCTGCCATCCATCAGTCGTTCACCTACCCATCCCGTAAGGATCTGCTGAGCGTCTGCACCAGCGGCCTGAGCATCCACCCCCCTCCGCGGCTCCATGGACTGACATCTTACCTCAACCTTGTCGTCACTTCTTGGGCCTGGCATTTGGGCTGAAACCAAAGCTAGTTACAGTGGCTGGGGTGGCAGATCCCATCTGGGCCTCTGGGTTGGCAGAGCCAGTCTGGTAGCTTTGACTGGACCCGGAAGCTGAGACACTAAAGAAAACTGGGCTGTTTGAAAGAAACCACACTGGGAGTGTAAGACGCTGACAGGGGCTGGAAATTCCAAACCCGCCACAGCTGTGGGTGTCCTCAGTCCAGTCTGACAAGCATGTGTGGACACAGGGTGGGCGCCGAGTGGGGTAGACAGACTGTGGCCACGACCAAAGAGGACTTTGTGATCTAGTAAAAAGGATGTCTTCTCAGGCAGACTAGGAGAGAGCCTGGCTTCCAGAAGAGCCCTCCCAAGGCTAGGCAACAAGGAGGCCTTTCATCCTAGCTCCTCCTAAGTCCCCAAGTCCAGACATTTGCTTGGCGATGCCATGGTAACCATGATGCCACAATGGAACATTCTTCCCAAGGCGGTAGAAGAAATCCCTCTGTTGAACTCTACTGTGTAAGGCCAGCGTGAGTTCATTTCTCCTTGAGCAGGAGCAGTTCATGGAAGAACTCTGAGGACAAGAAGCATACAGTGTCATGAGTGGAACATGGTGACTTAGAACAGTGTACATGGGTTCCTTGGGCTTCTGTGCATTGCTTGACAGCTGTGTGACCTTGGGCCAGCTACTCCATGTCTCTGAGTATCAGTTTCTGAATCTGTAAAATGGCAATAATGAGAGTGTCTACTTCCTACTGCAGTTGTGCCAATGAACTGAGCTAAATGCTGGGCCTGTTGCAATGTAAAGACACAGGCTGTTGGCTGGGCGTGGTGGCTCACACCAGTAATCCCAGCACTTTGGAAGGCCAAGGCGGGCAGATCACCTGAGGTCAGGAGTTCGAGACCAGCCTGGCCAACATGGTGAAACCCTCTCTCTACTAAAAATACAAAAATTAGCCAGGCATGGTGGCTCACGTCTAGTCCCAGCTACTCAGGAGGCTGAGGCAGGACAATCACTTGAATCCAGGAGTCAGAGGTTGCAGTGAGCCGAGATCACGCCACTGCACTCCAGCCTGGGCAACAGAGTCAGACTCTGTCTCAAATAAACAGACAAATAAATAACAACGAAAAACAGGCTGTTAACAGTGAACAGGAGCCCTAGTGTTCTTTTAGTCAGCAGGGTTTAGTAGGAAGGGTAAAACCACAGCAGAAGCGTTAACCCCAGGGTGGGCTTCCACTAAAACTCTACTTTTCTTTCAGCAGCACTTTATGGCTGCAGAGTTAAGGCAAGGATTGAATTCCACGCATCAAAAAGCAACCCTTTTCAGAGACGCAACTCTCTGGGGCGCGCAGCGGCTTGGGCTGGATTGAGAAGAAAACTGACAAGAGTAAGCTGCCTTTTCTCCTCGGGCCATCTTACGAAGCACGGTGAGGGCCAACTGGTCCTGCCTCTTGACTACACAGAACCAAGCACTAGGGATGTGACAGGTCAGTGCCCTACATCCTGGAACCTTTGTTGGTAGAAAGAGGGAGACCCTCTGATGTTGGGGAGGGAACGCATGTGTGTGGGAAGAGGATGGAAAAGAGTCTTAGAAAACCCTGCATGTGTTTGGAAGAGGATGGAGTCAGTGCGTTTTGTTTCCCCAGCTGCCCATGGTGCCCGCTGTGGGTCTCTCGGGATGGCAGAGATGCGAGGGATGCTGCTGGTGCTGCTTGGCCTTCTCCACTCTTCCACCAGTGAGTGTGCTGCTTTCCTCCCTCTGACTTTAGCTGCATGTGTGGCACAGAAGGGGATTATCCAGGAAAATGAAGTGGTCCTTACTGTCCAGGGAGGGGATTCAAAGATGCCACCAAGCATCTTTTACAGTGAAGAAGACACACTGGGAAAAAGACAGAAATGGAGGCTTCAGGTAGCATTAGTGATGATCAAGACAGACTGCCTGCAGGACAGAGGGTCCTGAGGTCTCCTTGCCCCAGCAGTGAGGCCCTGCACCCGCTCCACAGGTTGTGGCATCCAGAAAGCCTCCGTTTTCTATGGTCCTGACCCTGAGGAGGCCTTGGTCAACAGCATGGAGTTCCCGTGGGTGGTGTCGCTGCAGGACTCCCAGTACACACACCTGGCTTTCGGCTGCATCCTCAGCGAGTTCTGGGTCCTCAGCATCGCATCCGCTGTTCAGAACAGGCCAGTGCCCCTGCCTTTGGGGCCCGCGGCATCACCGGGGGTGAGGGTGGGTGTGGCTCTGCTTCCTGCTCAGCCTGGGGAGGCCCTGAAAGGTGGCTTCTGGGGGACAGGGCTTTTTACCGGTTCAGCGCTTGTGCTGCTGTGAGCCCTAAAATCACCAGTTGCCAAGGCTGATATCTGCTGTGAGGACTGCTGGCCTCGCAATGGAAAAATCAAATGATGAGTCCTCCATTCAATGCAGGTGGGATATTCTCTCTGAGTTTACTGCCATCACAGAGGCACTGGCTCCTCACACTAGAGTCCCCATTGCTTATCCCATTCAGCCAGTCCATGGGAGCCCTTACCCTAAAACACTCGTGCAAACGTTACTGCCATAAATACATGTATACAGAGAAAAGCCTCGAAAATACAGAAGTGCTTTTAAGAGTCCTTATCTGTCAGTGCTCAGAATGCACGATTTCTGTTTTCTTCTTTTAGCTTCTCTGTATTCTGCAAATTCTGTACAACAAATCTTCATTCTTTTAAACCAGAGAATAATCATAAAGGTTATTGAAAGAATGCTTTTGGTAAACATTTCTCACTTTTTGACCCAATGGCTTCATTTTTGGGAATCAACATTTTTATGTACAAAGTTGTTCCTAGGATGGTTACTTACACACAAAACACTGAAAAGAAACCTAATGTCCAACTATTGAAATGAAATTATAATTTTCATTTATATTTTAATTATATTTAAATTTATAATTATATAAATTTTAATTAATTTTAATTTATAATTATATAATTTAAAATAATTTTAATTTATAATTTAAATTAATTTTAATTTATAATTATATAAATTTTTAATTTATAATTATATAAATTTTTCATTATAATTATATATAATATACATTTATATGATACAATATAAATATATATTATACATAATATATAGTATATATGTAATTATATGCTCTATTAAAATGTAATATACATGTATATTGTAATATATGTATCTGTAATATATATGCATACAATATTATATGTAATATATAGTATATAATATATAATTACATATAGACACACAAAGTATTGGGGGAGAGAGAATAATAATGAATTGGCTAAATAAATTATAATATAAATCCTTGATGGAATATTATGCAGCTGGTGAATAGTTTAACATAGGATTTGTATTTTTAATACATGTACGTTCCTTGACATGTACAGGTAAACAAGTAAATAAATAAATAAGAGATAAAAAAGAATAAAAAATATTCAAAAAATACATGTATGGCTATGCAGTAGCTCACACCTGTAATCCCAGCACTTTGGGAGGCCAAGGCAGGCGGATCACTTGAGGTCAACAGTTTGAGACCAGCCTGGTCAACATGGCGAAACACCATCTCTACTAAAAATACAAAAATTAGCCTGGCATGGTGGCACACACCTGTAATCCTAGCTACTTGGAAGGCTGAGACAGGAGAACTGCTTGAACCTGGGAGGTGGAGGTTGCAGTGAGCAGAGATCGTACCACTGCACTCCAGCCTGGCTGACAGAGTAAGATTCTGTCTCAAAAAAAAAAAAAAAAAAAAGAAATACATGTGCATAGTAAAATATTCATGAGAAACCAAAGGATGTACAATGAAAAGTGGCTCCTTCCCTCCCCCACCCCTCAGTCACTAGTTTTCTTCCCTTGAGCCACATTCTGTCACCAATTTCTTGGCTATTTCTTTTTAAATACTCAATATACTCATGGATATCTATATACTATAGGTCTGGCTATATTGATTCTTGTATCTATTGACAGAGAATTTTTCTTTCCCCTTGTATTAGTCTACTTAGGTTGCCATAACAAAATATCACAGACTGGGTGGCTTAAACAATGGAAATTTATTTCTCACAGTTCTGGAAGCTGGACATCTGAGATCTAGGTGTCAGTAGATTTGGTTTCTCCTGAGGCCTCTTTTCTTGGCTTGCAGACAGCCACCTTCTCACTGTGTCCTTACATGGCCTTCCCTCTGTGCCTGTGCACTCTTGGTGTCTCTTCCTCTTCTTATAGGGACACCAGACCTGTTGGATTACAGCCCCAGCCTTATACTTCATGTAATCTTAATTACCTCCTTAAAGGCCCTATCTCCAACTATATGGTCAAATTGAGGGTTAGGACTTCAACCTACAAATTTTCAAGAGGATCCAATTGAGTTCATAACACACCCCCGACACACCCACAATGCAAGTGATAGCACACCATATACATTCGTTCATTCACAGCTTTTTTTTTTCACTTCACCATAAATTTTGGAGACCTTTTCTTATTGGTACATAAAGAGCGAATGCATTCTTTTCATCAGCTGCATGGCAGCCTGTCATGGAATTACCGTAACTACACAGTCCTTTATTAATGGAACTTTGGGCTGTTTCCAATCTTTTACTACTGCCAAAAATACTGCAACAGACATACCTGTACACACATTATTTCACACACATGCAAGTGTACCGTAGTGTAGACAACCCAGGAGTAGAAAGATGGGGCTAAAAAAAGACATGCATTCAAAATCCTGAGCGCTACTGCCAACTAGCCCTCCATAGAAATTCTGTTTTCTATGTAGTATTTTCCTTATGGCTATTTTCTATCTAGTCTGCTCTTTTGTTTTTTATTTTCTCTTTGACTCAAGGGTTTTATTAAAGACAGAGCATTATTTTAAAATTTTATTTAATTTTCTTTTAGAGATAGCTTGCTCTGTTACCCAGACTGTAGTGTAGCAGTGTGATCTCGGCTCACTGCAACTTCTGTCTCCCAGATTCAAGCAATCCTCTTGACTCAGCCTCCCAAATAGCTGGGACTACAGGTGCATGTCACCATGCCCAGCTAATTTTTGTATTTTTAGTAGAGACAGCGTTTTGCCATATTGGCCAGGCTGGTCTTGAACTTCTGAAGTCATGATCTGCCTGCCTCAGCCTCCTAAATTGCTGGGATTATAGATGTGAGCCACCACGCCTGGCCAAGACAGAGTTTTAAATGTCCAGATGTTAGAGTTTTTTGTTTGTCTTCTAACATTATTGAATTACACAATGTGGTGATCTATTTGGATTTGTTGAGATTGTCTTGTCTACTACTATGGGTGGTCTATATGAATATTTTTCACAGGTAAATTAAAAAGTTCATTCTCCATGCTCGATGTATAATTTAATATATAAAATTGGACAAGGAAGTCTACTTGGTCTGTCCTAGACTGTCAGAGGTGAATTAAAATTGCCTACCAGTTGGGCGCAGTAACTCACACCTATAATCCCAGTACTTTGATTAGACAATACACCCAAACTTAATTAAGATGACGTCGTCTTTGTTGGTCTAGGTGTCCAAGGATTCCTTCTTTGTCCCTAAGTCCAGCAACTTTATTAGTTGTGCTGGATCTCCCCCACCTGCCCCTTAAGATCCACTCTACTCTTCTACCCTGCCAGGCCCCAGGAAGCTCACCTGTATTGATTATACCAGTGGTCTCTCTTGCCTTCTGGATTCCAGTTGGTTTTGGCCAACACACACATAAGAGACAAGAGATCAGAGGGAGCGGGGAGAGTGAAGTCAGGGTCCTTATTCCTCTGCGTGCTACTGCAGATTTGCTGTTGGTTGCTTTACCAGCTCAGTGACCCACTCTACACAGCTCTGTCTGATCACATCCTCCCCTCACATAGGGCCCAGAGGTAGTGTCAAAACAGTGTTATAGCCTCAGCAGGAGCTGTCTATAGCATGCAGTGCCCAGTGCTGTCCTTGTGGTTTCCCTGTATCCTGCCTAGACCTTTGTAAAGAGTCCCTTTATTAAACTCACCCCAATTTACCTTATTTGAGTAGAACATTTCTTTCCTGTTGGGACCTGACCAGACTATGTCTCAGTGTTAACTACTCCAAACTATAGAGATAGTGGACACTCAACACTATTGGAGATAGGTTAACTAAATCCAAACTACAGAGTCAAGTTTTAGTTCTGAAAAGTTTTCTTAAATTATATCTTGAAATATTTTTCCTGTTTCATCATTTTGGTTACTTTCTTTGTAGTCAGCTAGTTCTGCTGTGACTGCCTTATCTGTCATTTTCCTCTCAAGCCTTTAAAAATCTTTGTTAATTTTCATTTCATTTTGGTCACATTTCTCAATGACCCAATTGTGTTTTCTGTGGGCCCTATTTTCCTTTATGCTGCTTTTGATTTGGCTTTCATTTTGGTGATGGTCTTGATTCTTTTCTCTTCACTTTCTTGCTGAGAACATGCTCAACCAGCTTTTTCAGAGCTCTCTGGCAGTCAATGTCATTTATAACTCTTGCACTCCTGCCATCCTTCCTTGCATCAGCCCTTCCTTTGACTCTGAGATTTGGATTCTCCAGTGTCTCTTGGTTTTATGGTGTTTATATTTGCTCCACATTCTCATAGTTTCTTGAGTGATTCCCAAGAGGAGAAAGGGAAAACACCCAACTCAATTCTATTGTTATTAGAACTTCAATTTCTCCAAAATGTATTTACAGAATATATAAGGAAAGATGCTTGTTTTAAAATGTCAAGTACTAAAAGCAGGAGTCAAGATGACATCTTTTGTAGAACAGCAATTACTACTTTTGCAAACTACAATATGTAAAACAAAACAAAACAAAACAAAACAAAAAAAACCTATTCATAGAAAAGGAGTTCATCAGCAATAACATGTTAACAGATTATCTTTGGTCGGGGGGCAAATGGTGTTAAGATTGAAGACTCTCCAGGGTTCTGCAGGCTCGCAAAAGAGGGCACAAGCCTAGGGGTTCATAAAAGATTTCCTAGAAACTTAAGTCCAAAGGGGTGAGGAAGAATTAACACAGGGAATATGAACTGGATGAGTGTTCCAGGCTAAAAAAAATGTAAATAGGAAAACATGGAAGTGTGAAGCTTCCTTGGTATCTTGGCTTCTTAAGATTCCCTTGCTCTCTCTCTAGGAAGAACATTGTTGTTATAGTGGGTATAAGTAACATGGATTCCAGGAAGATTCGTCACACAGAGTATCCAGTTAATACCATCATCATCCATGAGGACTTTGATAACAACTCCATGAGCAACAACATAGCCCTCCTGAAGACAGACACAGCGATACATTTCGGCAACCTGGTCCAGTCCATCTGCTTCCTTGGCAAAGAGCTGCATACACCTCCAGTCTTGCAGAACTGCTGGGTGTCAGGATGGAATCCCACATCTGCAGTTAAGGCATTCCTCCTCCCAGAGGAGGCTGTGTGTGTGCTGGCAGTGGGGGTGACCTGGATAATCCAATCTAGGGCCTATCTTAATTTAATAATGGAGCTTGCGGCCGAGCACAGTGGCTCACGACTGTAATCCCAGCACTTTGGGAGGCCAAGGCGGGTGGAACACCTGAAGTCAAGAGTTCAAGACCAGCTTGAATAACCTGGTGAAACCCTATCTCTACTAAAAATACAAAAAAATTAGCTGGGTATGGTGGTGGATATCTGTAATACCAGCTACTCGGGAGGCTGAGGCAGGTGAATCACTTGAACCCAGGAGGTGGAGGTTGTAGTGAGCAGAGATCAAGCCATTGCACTCCAGCCTGGGTGACAAGAGCAAGACTCTGTCAATAAATAAATAAAGGAGCTTGCTTGAGGTTCTAGAGTTTGGTTGAAACCCTCACCTAATCAGTCAAGACTGAGAGCTTGCCCTTTCTGTGGCCACTCTTTTTTTTTTTCCTTTTGAGACAGGGTCTTTATCATTGTAGTGGTGCCATCACGGCTCACTGCAGCCTTGAGCTCCTTGGCTCAAGTGATCCTCCTGCCTCAGCCTCCTGAGCAGCTGGGACTACAGGCACAGGTCGCCACGCCTGGTTGTTTTAAATTTGTTTTTTGTGGAGACGGGATCTCGCTATGTTGCCCAGGCTGGTCTCTAACTCCTGGGCTAAAGCAAGCCTCCCCCTCAGCCTTCCAAAGTGTAGGGATTACAGGCATGAGCCACTGTGCCCAGCCAGTGGCCATTCTTACATCACATTGGTCCTTTAACTGCTAGCCCTACACCAAAATTGGAAGTACAGAGGCAATGGACAGCCTGGAATGAGTACAAGGGTATGGAGGGATGAGCGGATGTTAGACCCTGAACTACAGCTGACTGTCCTCTTGTCTAAGCCACCTTTAATGGATACTCTCTAGAAGAGGAAGAAGAGTATTCTCTGCTTGTTTATACATTCAAGTTCAAAGTGGAAGTAGTTTTCAGTAAAAACTCAGTCACAGGTTCTTATTTCTATGAAGAAAAGGGGTTTATAAGAACATTTCAGCCCAGGCACAGTGGCTCATGCCTGAAATCCCAGCTGTGAAAGGCCAAGGCAGGTGGATCACTTGAGGTCAGGAGTTTGAGACCAGCCTAGCCAATGTGGTGAATCACCGTCTCTCTTAAAAATAAAAAAATTAGCTGGGCATTGTGGTGCACACTGTAATCCCCGCTACTTGGGAGGCTGAGGCAGGAGAATTGCTTGAAGCCGGAAGGCAGAGGTTGCAGTGAGCCGAGATCACGCCACTGCACTCCAGCCTGGGTGACAGAACAAGACTCCATCTCAAAAAAAGAAAAAAAAAAAAAAAAGAAAAAAAAAGTTACCAACCCTTTGGGTATGTGAGTGGGAGTTGTGTTGAATTAGCGGTCTGCCTTCTCGTTAATAATCCCTGGGCTCTCTGTTGCATGGTCCAGACAGGAAATCGCATGACGATGAGTATCCTGAGGAAAATCTTTGTGAAAGATGTTGACATGTGTCCCCTACACAAACTCCAGAAGACAGAATGCGGCAGCCACAAGAAAGAGGAAACCAAGACTGTCTGCTTGGTAAGAACATCATGGAGCAGTAGCTAAGTGTTGAGAGTAAGCCTTGGTCACATCCAGGGGAGCCTCGGGACTCCCCCTCCCTAGATGGGGAGCTCTGTGAGGGCAGGGACTAGGGATTGGGATTAGTGGCTGTTTCTGGCGTGAATAGCACTTGGCAGACAGTACACACTCAATAAAAATCTGCTGAATGAACTAACCAGTCATGATTTTCAATGTTGAAGCTTTGTAAGTCACGGGTGCTTTTTAACTAGTTAAAAATGTGAAAGTCTGAGTCCAAACCACAAAGGCAGATATACTTTGAGCAGATTTACGGTGTGGGACTGCTGTATTTAGCTTCTAAGGAACCTAGACTCCCCTCCGATGCTATCAGTTATTGGGTTTTTCTTCTGTGAGAAGCCCTGCCCTCCAACCAGATGAGGGCTATACAGATGTGGCTATCTTACTGCCTCAAAAACAATGTGTAGAAGTCACACACAACTGGTTCAGGCTCCTTCATATCCAAATCTGGAGAAAGTGTGGCTTAGTAGGGTCACACAGTCAATAAAAGTTAGAGCAAAGACAAGAAGCTAGGCCTACCAGATATCCAGATAGAGTCTCTCTCCTCTACTCTAGAACTGCTTTTCTAAGAGGCTTATCACCCACCGTCCTAGAAATAACCTTCAGGACACCCCGATGGGGAATTTTTTTTTTCCCTAGAGGATCCAGAAGGGCAGGATTTTTAGAACAATGGGAAAAAAATAAATATACAGATATTTCTTTCTAAAAGTCTTTTTATTGCAAAAGCATGAAGGACTGCCTCCCACTAAGAAATAAATTTGTCCTTCCAAAGTTGGTGTAACATCTATTGAGTACCTACTCTGTACTGGGTCCTCTGCCAAGTAGGGGATCTTAACAATTTCTTAAATTGGATAATGTGTTAAAATACAGTGAAGATACAGCTTTTTAACAAAATTCTGCCCTCAACCATTCCATCAAACAAGTGTCATACTTCATCAGATCTAAGATGCTGCCAATTATAGAATGCACCAGCACTTTATGTAATCTCAAGAAAGAAAAAACTGCTGCCAGTTCAACTCTGAAGTCAATTGATTAAAAGACACATCCCAATTTCAAAGATGTTGCTTTCTAACTGTATATTCGACTCAATGGAAGATCCTAAGCTATTTATGCTCTAAGTGATCATCTTTTAAAATCTAACTGCAAAGTTCAGGTTGGTTTTTAACTGTGGCACATCTCTAAACAGGTTTGAACAGAATTATGCTTGTATACCATTTAATGGTGACCTGTCCCCTTAGAATTCTCTCTCTTGGCAATATGTTCTCAAGTGCAGAGGTCTTCAAAGCCACAGTTCTCACATGTAGAATGAACCATCAGGTTCAGAATCTGCCTATGGGTTTCTTCATCTCTGTTCTGGTGTAAATTCCGAGGAAAAAAGGGAGCTTTATTGAAAGAGAATACCCCGCTGGGCATGGTAGCTCATGCTTGTAATCCCAGCACTTTGGGAGGCAGAGGTGGGCAGATCATTTGAGGTCAGGAGTTTGAGACCAGCCTGGCCAACATGGTGAAACCCTGTCTCTACTAAAAATGCAAAAATTAGCTGGGCGTGGTGGTGGGCGCCTGTAATCCTAGCTACTGGGGAGGCTGAGGTAGGAGGATCGCTTGAACCCTGGAGGAGGAGGTTGCAGTGAGCCGAGATCTCTCCACTGCACTCCAGCATAGGCGACAGAGCAAGACTCCATCTCAAAAACAAAACAAAAAAAATTAACTGAGCATGGTGGCACATGCCTGTAGCCCCAGCTACTCAAGAGGCTGAGGTGGGAGAATCCCTTGAACCTGGGAGGTGGAGGTTGCAGTGAGCTGAGATTGCACCACTGCACTTCGGCCTGGGATACAGAGAGAGACCCCATCTCAAAAAAAAAAGGTGGGGGTGGGGAGCTGAGGCAGCCGCCTTTCTGCCTTTCTGCTGCTTGTGGTTGTCTGTTCAGATTGTTTCCTGTGGCTAATTGCAGCCCCACTCCAAACCATGAGAGCAACATGTCATTGCTTGGGCCTTCCAGCCAGGCAGGCCACACAGGTCAGAGGCGGCTGGCTAACCTGGGGATGACCACCCCCTTCTCCGACCAAGATGGGCCACGGGAGGGGCAGGAATTCCTTTGAGAGAAGACCTAGGGGTGTGGGCTCACGGCGGGTGAGGTAAAGGATACCTAGTAATTGCCTTGTTGCTTTTCCATTTTCCCCAACTTTTCAGAAAGACAATGGCCTTTGTAGAGACATCAAGATGATGGTAGCTAATATTCTATTTAGTGCATGCTGTGCCAGGCACTGTGTTGTGCCAGGTATTACAGTGGGAGCATATAACTGTGTTCCCACTTTGGCTCAGAGAGGATTTGGTCACTTGCCAAGGTCCCATATCTAGCTGAGGATGCCAAGCTTCTACTCCCTCACCTTGAGTTAGGTAAAGTGTGTGTGGCAGAATTCCCAAGTCCCAGAGGACTGCTTCCTCGGGAATGGTGAAAACCAAGAGCACGGCCAGCCAGCTGGTGAGCAGCTGCCAGGTGGCAGGAAGCGGCTTAAACTAAGGGTCGAAGCAAGGCAGAGAGGAGAAGGGAAAAGGTGAGCATTTCAGGCCAGAACGGAAACAAACACCAACATTTTAGGAATGAGAAGCCAGAAGAGAGGGAGGGTTTCGCCAAAGGACTGGAAAGGGGCAAGAAAATGAAATATGAACTGGGAAGCTATAGGCAACCTGCAGAAGTCACAGCTAATTTGCATAATAAAAGGAAAAGTCATCTTGTTGGAATCCATGGTGGTGGCTGCCTAGATTTGAAATCGTATCCTTTGCCCCATTTCCAGTGAGAACCAGTATAAACATTTCTAGGACAAAAAGTATATTGCACAAGGACAGACTTACAACAAAAACTAGGTTTTCTAAGACCCGAAGCCTTCTGTTTTTTGTCACAGGGGGACCCAGGAAGCCCAATGATGTGCCAGCTACAGCAGTTCGATCTGTGGGTTCTGAGAGGAGTCGTGAACTTCGGTGGTGAGCCGTGCCCTGGCCTGTTTCTGTACACCAAGGTGGAAGACTACAGCAACTGGATCACATCCAAGGCTGAAACGGCCGGCCCTCCCCTGTCTTCACTTCACCACTGGGAAAAGTTGATTTCTTTCTCCCACCATGGGCCAAATGCCATGACACAGAAGACATATTCTGATTCTGAACTGAGCCATATTGAATCATACTTCCAGGGACAAAGAAGGACCACCATGCATTCACAGCTAGCATCTAGGGATGGTCTAGATTTTAGGGAGAAGGGTGTAAGGGAATCAGACAGGTCTCCTGAGGTGCCTGTACAACCCTTATACTATGACTATTACGGTGGGGAGGTAGGGGAAGGTGGGTCTTCTGCAGGTCAGAACAGGTTGCATCAGCCCAAAGAAATCATCTTGGTTTCCTTTGTGCTTGTTTTCTTTTGCAGCAATATCTAGTCCAGGAGCTACGCCACCAAACTGAAGAGTAAGCTCAGAACGCTGGGTACCAGGCATTCACCATGCTGTTTTGGTGTCTGTTTTTGATAGTGGCACACCAGAGCTGCCACGGATACACCCATGGTGCACACTGGGCTGGCTCTCCCTCCTCTGTCCCACTCCCATGTGTGGGAAGGTCACTTTCATCGTGCTTGTGAACTAAATGCAAGCTAACAAGTGTCAAACCATTAGCGTACCCTGTGGTTCTTTCAGTGGTTAACAGTTCCAGGGGCAGGCTGTGAAAACACTCCCCAATGAGCAGATGTGGCCCAAGAGGTGATGCTCAGCCTGGCTAGGAAGTTGGGAATACCAGGCAGACAGGGAACAGTGAGAGGAGCCCGTGACTAGAAAGGAGCTGATTACTTTAATAGCTGACATCTGGGTCTGTAAGCGTGGCCTGCCTCTGGCTACTTCTCATCAGGATAATCTGCCTGCAACTGCTCATTGGTTGTTTTCATTCGATTCCAAGTCTTACGGTAGCCTTTTAAGGACATCTGCCAATTAAAAAAAAAAAAAAAAAAAAAGATAAAGGAGTCGGGAGAGAAGATCACTTGGGGAAAACTGACTGTGGCTTTTCAGAATGCAACCCTCATCCAGCCCCATGATGGTGCAGGTGACCCTGTGTGGGGCAGTGTGCCCTCCGTGCACAATGTAGTGCAGGGGCCACCAAGGGGCAGCACCCACCCGGAAGATCTGTAGAGCATGTTTCTGTTCAGTGAAGTGAGAAGTTGCATGTTCCTACCACGATTCTGCTACTTCTCAGCTCCAGATCTGAGGGCTCAAGTTTGGATCCTAATTTACTCTCTGCTACAAAATGGCCACAGGAGACATGGGAGAAAGTAACACAGGAAATGGAAGCCAGGGGCTAAATGTGAAAACACCAAGGTCCCAGTTCCCCAAGTGACCTGACTGGCTCTCTAAGCTACTCTGTTGATGGTTTGAGTGACTTCAGTTTGCAGCCTGGCCATGGCAGCCTGGGTGTTTGTCTTTCTTCTGACACCAGCATATGTTTTCCCATTGCCCATTTATCTCCCGCAGCTCACACGAGCAAGTGTGCTTCCTGTCACACAGTACCATATTCAAAATCTGCGGGATTCGTGCAGAAGCAGAAAGACCCACGGCAACTATGTACATGCAGGGACTGAAGTTCTGAGTGATATTAAAAAATCCATCAGTATCTCATTTTTTTTAAAACTGGCTTCTCCATCTATAAAGTAGCAATTATTAAATTACTAGTGCAGAGGGATTCAGAGACTTCTAGAATTCATTAAGAAAACAGGCAACTAAAAACACATGATTACTACAGAGTTTCTCCCTGAAAACAGAAAAGACCTTGCCCCTAACAATACAAAAGGGGGAACTTTAAAAAAAAAACAATCATCCTTCATCTTGGTTTAATAGTTAAAGCAACTGCTGAGATTTCTCCCAGAAATTATACATCCAAACATCGGTATTCTTAGCCCAAAGACCAAAATCCTAAATGAAAACATTGAGGACATAAAAGATTGCCCATCCTGGGGCTCCCCGTGGCTCACCTCTGCTATCTCCACTTTCCTTTCCCACATCTTGATGCTCTTCTCCAGGTCCCCATTTGAGATCTTCTCCCAGACATAAGTCATCACCTGTGGGGCCCGGAACTTGGCCAGCTGCTTCCGGAGCCTCTTGTTCACTGCCTCGGCTTTGGCCCGGTCCTGGGTTGGGAAGGAGCAGTCACATCCAGGGTACCCCAGCAGCTCCTGCTTTGAGAACTCACTGGCCCTGTCATCTCTCCCCACAGTTCCAATAGAGTTCCAAAAATAATTATTTTCTGGGGGGGACAGAGTCTCTCTCTGTTACCCAGGCTGCAGTGTAATGGCCGATCTCAGCTCACTGCAACCTCCACCTTCTGGGTTCATGCAATTCTCCTGCTTCAGTCTCCCGAGCAGCTGGGATTATAGGTGCCCGCCACCACATGCAGCTAATTTTTGTATTTTTAGTAGAGACGAGGTTTCACCAGGTTGGCCAGGCTGGTCTCGAACTCCTGACCTCAGGTGATCCACCTGCCTAGGCTTCCCAAAGTGCTGGGATTACAGGCGTGAGCCACTGCACTGAGCCAATGTTTACATTTTCAAAGAAGTTGGGGAGGGGTAAGAATCACAAGATTTTGATTTTTTGCTAAACGTGTTTTAATCCAGTTCAGAAACACCTAGTGCAGTCTAAACAGTCTTGTTTCTTTCATTCCTTTCCCGTTTCCTTTCCTCTCTCCTTCCCTTTCCTTCCCTTCCCTCCTTCCTCTTCCTCTTCTTTATTAAGGTATATGTTGTACTTATTTTGACTTCTTAGGGTTTTTCTGTGTGTGAAAAATTTTGTACTTAAGTATACTTTGATCAGACTCAAATCACTTCCATGTCTTTTTTTAATTATAAGATTTATATATCATAAAATGTACCATCTTAACCATTTTTAACTATACAGTTCTGTAGCGTTAAGTACATTCACATTCTTGGGCAACCATTGCCACCATCCATCTCCAGAACTCATTTTGTCTTGTAAAACTGAAATTCTGTACCCATTATACAGTAACTCCTCCTTCCCTCCTCTCCCAGCCCCTGGCAGCTACCATTCCACTTTCTGTCTCTATGAATTTGACTGCTCTGACTACCTCATATAAGTGGAATCATACAGTATTTGTCCTTTTATTTCTAGCTTATTTCACTTAATATAATGTCCTTAAGTTTCCTACACATGGTAGTATGTGTCAGGATGTCCTTCCTTACTAAGGTGGAGTGGTTTTCCATGGTATGGATATACCTCGTTTGATTTGTTTATCCATTCATCCATTGATTGGATAAACTTGAGTTGTTTCCAATTCTTGGTTATTATGAAGAACAGTGCTGTCAACATGGGTGTACAAAAATCTGTTCAATCCCCTTCTCAATTCTTTTGTGCATATTCTCAGATGCAGAATTGCTAGAACTGATGGTAATTCCATTTTTTGAGTAACCTTTGTCTTTTAAATATTTATTTTAAAAATTATCACATGGTAAAATTAATTAGCCTTTTTAATAGAAAGCATTTATTAAAAATTAACATTGGCCGGGCATAGTGGCTCATGCCTGTAATCCCAGCACTTTGGGAGTCACTTGAGGTCAATAGTTTGAGAACAGCCTGGCCAACGTGGAGAAACCCCATCTCTAGTACAATACAAAAAAATTCACCGGGTGTGGTGCGGGCGCCTGTAATCCCAACTACTGGGGAGGCTGAGGCAGGAGAATCGCTTGAACTTGGAATAAGGAGGTTTCGGTGGGCTGAGATCATGCCACTGTGCTCCAGCCTGGGTGACGGAGTGAGACTCTGTCTCAAAAAAAAAAAAAAAAAAATCAACTCAAAATTGATTATAAACTTAAACATAAGAGCTAAAATTATAAAACTCTTAAAAGAAGACAGAGGAGTAAATCTTCATGATATGGGGTAAGGCAATGGCTTCTTATACATGACACCAAAAGCTCAAGCTCAAAAAACTGGATAAACTAGACTTCTATCAAAATTAAAAACATTTGTGTTACAGAAAAAAGTATCAAGAAAGTGAAAGAAAATCCACAAAATGGAAGAAAATATTTGTGAATCTTATACAGGTGATCTTTGACTTACAATGGGTCAATTTAAGTTTTTTTTTTTACTTTAAGATGGTGCAAAAGCAATACACATGTGATATAAACCACACTTCGAGTGCCGGTATAACCCTTCTGTTTTTTACTTTCAGTACAGTATCCAATAAATTACATGAGCCATTCAACACCCCATATAAAACAGACTTTGTGTTTGAAGATTTTTCCCAGTAGTAGGCTAATATAAGTGTTCTAAGCACATTTAAGATAGGCAAGGCTAAGCTATAATGTTTAGGTCAGGTATGTTAAATGCATTTTTGACTTATGGTATTTTCAACTTACAATAGGTAAGTTAAAAAGATAAATGACCCACTTATAAACCGAGCAAAGGACTTGACTAGACATTTCTCAAAGAAAGAGACAAGTGGCCAATAAGCACATAAAAAGATGCTCCATGTCATTAGGCAAATTCAAATAAAAACCACAACGAGATATCACTTCATAGCAAGTAGGATGGCCATTAAAGAAAACCTGAGAATAACAGAGACGTGCAGAACTGGAACCCTCATACACTGTGGGAATGCAAAATGGTGCAGCCACTTTCGAAAAACCTAGAAATTCCATGTCTAGGTGTTAGACACGGAATTACCATGTATAACCACAATTCCACTTTTAGGTATATGTCAAAGAGAAAAGAAAACATGCCAAGAGAAAAGAAAACACGTATCCACACAAAAACTTGTACCAGAATGTTCACATCAGAATTACTCATGAGAGTCCCAAAGTGGAAACCCAAATGTCCACCAACTGATGAGTGAATAAATAAAATGCGGTCTGTCCACACAATGAAATATTATTCAGCCATAAAAAGAAACACATGATTAGCCACTCATAAAAGACTACATATTGTATAATCTCTTTTACATAAAATGTCCAGAACAGAGGAATCCACAGAGGCAGAAAGTAGATTAGTGGCCGCGGAGAGCTGGAGGGTGGGAGCGGGCTGTGGTGGGGAATGGAGAAGAATTTCTTTCTTTCTTCCACCCCGCCCCTGAGACGGAGCCTCCCTCTACCACCCAGGCTGAAGTGTAGTGGTGTGATCTCAGCTCACTGCAACCTCCACCTTCCAGGCTCAAGCAATCCTCCTGCCTTAGCCTCCCTACAAGTACCCACCACCATGCCTGGCTAATCTTTGTATTTTTAGTAAAGGCGGGGTTCTCACCATGTTGGCCAGGCTGGTCTTAAACTCCTGACAAATGATCTGCCCACCTTGGCCTCCCAAAGTGCTGGGATTACAGGAGGAGCCACCACACCTGTTCTATGAGGAAGGATTTCTAATGGGTGCAGGGTTTCTTTCTGGGGTGATGAAAATGTCTGAAAATTACTGTGCTGATGGTTACACAACTCTGTGAATATATCATAATCCACTGAAATGTACAGTTTAAATGGGAGATTATATGGTATATAAACTGAATCCCAATAAAGCTATTTTCAAGACGTTAACAAGAAAGCTACAATATACTAAGCAGTGAATGCCAGGCTTTAAAAAAAATCAGTTTTAAGTTTTACTTGTAATCTAATAACTATCAACCCAAGGGAAAAATAAGAACCACAGCAATTCTGCATTAAGAGAGTTCACAGGTCTTTGCTTTAACTTTGCTACTTGCCACTCTGTATTGAGACTGGGTGTTTTTTTTTTTTGTTTTGTTTTGTTTTGTTTTTGCAGAAGGTGTCAGTTCTCCTTCGAGAATATAATGTGTATGCTGTGACAAAACTTAGATGTTAATAATCCTGTGGCTTTGGGGCCATTTGTAGGCAAATTTGAGGCCACACACACTAAGGGAGACACTTCAGGCCCACACAAGACAATGGCACTAATAATCATACAAACAGTTTTAGGGGTTGACAAAGTGTCATTACATGTGGTCCTCTCTAGCCACTACACTAAGGGCAATAGATCTATTTCACAGATGTGGAAACAGTCCCATCTATTTAAAAGCTTGTTCAAGACTAGAAATTGGCAGCACCAAACCTGATGCCAGGCCTTCTGATCATAAGTCCAGCACTCTTCCTCCTGCGTCCTCCCCAAAAAGTTCTCTTTGCATCACATCCTATGTACATTTAAGTTACGGAAATTCAGCTAGCAATGCTCAGCAAAGTAATGAGAGGTAAACTGCAATTTAGACAGGCAGGGAGCTCAGATGACTCCACTCACCTCTTCACACAGTGACCACAGGCCTTGGAGTGAGCCTAGGACAGAGGTCACAGGTCTACTGTTCTTCAGCTGGTCTCTGCTACAGGCTACTCAGGCTGTGAGCATCCAGCCTGGGTACCAGGTGAGATGTCATATGGTTATGACCTCTCTCTCTCTGTCTCTCCTTTACATCAAATGTTCTATTTTGGCATGTGTATTTTTTTTCCTATCAGATACGTTACTATATGCATTGAACATTTTTCATGGGGTTGTGGACACGACACTGAATACTGTACTTTATGGGTCACTTAAGGAATTCCCAAATATTATTTGGACTCCATGAAATTTTTGTTTTCTGAGCTGACTCTAGAACCTAACCCAGCAGTAAAATGCGACACACCTGGACTGTAGGTCTCCAGGTGCCACTCTGTGCTTTGATGGCCCAGAGCTATTTTGATTTTTATGGTCTAGGCTTTTCTAGATAAACCAGCAAGGTGGCTTAGATCTTGGCGGACCCTGACTCAAGCCCTTATAAACACAAGGAGACAAACATCAGAAATACCACATTTGGCCCTCTCCTACCTCCTCTACTTGTAGCATTTCTTTTTCAATTTTTTCAAGTAGCTCTTTCCTCAGCAAGATCTCCTTGTCCAGATTGATGCACATGTCCATTGCCTTGTGAAGCTTGCTCTGAAATATAACAACATGGCAAGTCTTGAGCTAAGGTGACCTCTCAGAACCGCATGAAGGGGAGACATCTCTTGGTTAACAAACAGAAAAGCAGGACCAGCCGGGAAATCCAAATTGCCCTTCTCATGGTTGCCCAGATTTTCCAAATTCTGATGTCTGAGAACTGGTCAGGGAGAAGAGGACCTTGGGATCTTGTCCTCAGAAGGAGAGGGAGAAAGGTCAGGCATACGTGGACCTAAATCCTGCCCCACTACTCACTAAGGAAATCTCTGGGGAGGTCCCAGAACCTCTCTAAACTTGGGTCCAGTCACCATGTAGGGTTGTGGAGAGGCTTACAGGAGACGGCCTGGTAGAGCACTGAGCACAGTGCCTGGTACATGGAGAACATCCAGCAAACAGCTGCCGTGACTATCTCATGTGGATGGAGAGTGGGGATTACTCCCCACGAGGTGGGTGCTACTACTATCTCCATTTATAGGTGAGAGAACTGACCTTTAGGGAGGTAAAACCATTTCCCCAAGGTCACAGAGACTAGGGGGGGCCAGGAATTGAGCCCAGACAGTAAGATTCCACAGCCCACAGGCTCCACCACTGTCTCGTCTCCGAATGAAGCTGGGCCTACTAGTTTTAGAGGAGTCCTGCAAGAGCAGTCTTGCAGATTTCCAGGGCATCATCTGCCCTTCACCAACTCCTGCAGGTCCCTGCTTCTTAGACTGGCCCTCTTTTGGCCACTGTCTCCTAGTGGGGAAGAGTCAGTCCAGAGCTGGGATGTGCTCTGCTAGGCAGAGGAGTGGGCCAAGGGAAAGACGCAGTGATTTGGGGGAGCTCGCTCAACAAACCCTGAAAACCCACCCACCAGGCGCCAGTCCCTGCACCAAGCACTGGCCAGGGAAGCAAACTAGGCTCTGCCACCAGGAAGTCGGCTCACAGCCTGCACAGTGGAGGAGATGCAGTCAAATAATCGTAAGAAGAAATGTAAGACTGCAATTGTGCCACGCTGTGAGAATACCAGGACAGTGGCTGGACAAGGTTTTCCTGAAAAAAAAAAAAAAAAAAAAAAAAAAAAAAATGCTGGAAAGAGAGCTGAAAGGTTGAGTCAGTATGTTAAGGTGAAGAGAGAAGAGAACATTCCAAGATAAGGAAAGAACCAAGGAGAGGAGGATCTAATAGGAGCTGGGAGAGTGGGTGGAGAACAGCAGGGCCACAGTCAAAGTGAAGACAGGAGGGGGCAAGGGCATCGCCCCAGGTTTTCAAAACAGGGGAGCCCAGAACCGCCTGCCTGGGGGACCTTCTGGCACCCAGGGACCATTCTTTTCTGCACTCCTATTTCCAGGCCTCACTTCTTTAAGGCTCATTTCTGCATGAAAATTGCTCTGCTAAGGAAAACAAAAGTGAATGAGACCAGACTGACGGGGTCAGCTGTGGGGCTGGGGAGATGGGGCAAAACTTTGCTGCAAACCAGCAATTCAGGTGGGAGGAAGGAGAGCAGAGGGAAGACAAGTGGTCAACAACTTAGAGCGGCAGGGCAGGAAGGATGGAACTTCCAGGGCACAGCAAGGCCGTGACTGGCTCTGCTGGGGCAGGTCTTCACAAAGGTTGATGAGAACGGAATTGGTGACGCTGAGTCAAGATGTGAGGAGGCCACTTCTGAAAACAACTACATTCACTTTCTATTGCTATGTAACAAATTACCACAAACTTTTGTGGCTTAAAGCAACACCCATCATAGCTTCCATAGGTCAGAAGTCTGGGCACAGTGTGGCTGGATTCTCTCCCTTGGTCCCATCAGGCTGAAATCAAGGTGTTCGCCAGGGCTGTGGTTCTTGTCAGGGGCTCAGGGTCCTCTTCTAAGCTCACTTATTGTTGGCAGAAGGGCACTTCCTTGAAGCTGTAGGACCAAGGCCCTTGTTTTCTTTTGGGCTGTCAGCAGGTCACTCTCAGCTCCCAGAGGCCCCTCTTGGATCCCTTCCATGTAGCGCCTCTGTCTTCAAGCTCACAATGGAGAACGCTTCCTCCAGCAATTTCCCCTCACGCTTCGCATCTATGATTTCCTCTTCCAGAGACACTCTACAATCTTTTTTTTTTTTTTTTTTTTTTTTTGAGATGGAGTCTCACTCTGTTGCCCTGCTGGAATGCAGTGGTATGATCTCGGCTCACTGCAACCTCCACCTCCCGGGTTCAAGTGATTTTCCTGCCTCAGCCCCCGAAGTAGCTGGAACTACAGATGCATGCCATCACGCCTGGCTAATTTTTCTATTTTTAGTAGAAACAGGGTTTCACCATGTTGCCCAGGATGGTCTCGATCTCCTGACTTCATCATCCCAAAGTGCTGGGATCACAGGGGTGAGCCACTGCACCCAGCTGAGAAACTGTTTTTTTTTTTTTTTAGATGGAGTTTCGCTCTTGTTCCCCAGGCTAGAGTGCTATGGCGCAATCTCAGATCACTGCAACCTCCGCCTCTTCAAGTGATTCTCCTGCCTCAGCCTTCCAACTAGCTGGGATTACAGGCATGCACCACCACACCTGGCTAATTTTTTGTATTTTTAGTAGAGACGTCATTTCTCCATGTTGGTCTTGAACTCCCAACCTCAGGTGATCCACTTACCTTGGCCTCCCAAAGTGCTGGGATTACAGGTGTGAGCCAATGTGCCCGGGCGAATCTGTACTTTCAAGGGACTAGTGTGATTAGATCAGGCCCAAGCAGGTGATTGCCCTATCTTTAGGTCAACTGTGCTATACGGTGTAACTGAATCATAGAACAGAACAGAACTTAATAACTGAACCCATCATATTCACAGTCCTGGCTGGAGATTATACAAGGCGTAGACCCCTGGGGGTGGGGAGTCTTGGGGACATCTTAGAATTCTACCTACAAGGCCCCAAATCACTAGTTTATAGTCAGTCCGGCGTGACTTAGCACAGCAGTAGTCACATCTTACATTCCACCAGATTCCACCAGGCAGGGCTTGAGGGCATAAAGTCAGAGAAAAAGCTACCACCTTGACTCAGGCTCACACATGAAATTCACAGAAGAGAAGAGCCCATTTCCGCTTGGTGCTGTCTAAATGCTGTACCCTTAGCACTTAGCCCGGTGCCTACCCTACTGGAGGTATTGGTATTTTTAGTATAGAGAAAAGTTATTCTGCATGCCTTTAACAAGGTTTCACACTTGGGTGTTTGATATTTATTTCTTTATTTTCGTTTTATGATTGCTGGGAGAATGAATGTTTGATATTTATATCAAAGTGGCCCCTCCTGTCACCGTCCCATGCCTACCAAGTACACACCTATACTGACAGCAGTTCATTCAACAATATTGGCCAAGTACCTGCTTTAGCCAGGCACCGTCCTTGATGCTGGGGACACAAGACATACTAGATAGAGCACCATCCTGGTGACACAAAACTTGCCTCTAAGAGGTAACGAATTGGGCAGTGCATGGTGGCTCATGCCTGTAATCCCAGCACTTTGGGAGGCCGAGGCAGGTAGATCACAAGGCCAAAAGATTGAGGCCATCCTGGCCAACATGGTGAAACCCCATCTCTACTAAAAATACAAAATCAGCTGAGTGTGGTGGCATGGGCCTGTAGTCCCAGCTACTCGGGAGGCTTAGGCAGGGGAATCACTTGGACCCGGGAGGTGGAAGTTGCACTGAGCCAAGATTGTGTCACTGCACTCCAGCCTGGCGACAGAGCAACACTCCGTCTCAAAAAAAGTAAAATAAGAGGTGAAGAATCTTGCCCAGATGAAGCACCTGCCCCAGGAGGAGGAGCCCCTAGTCAAGCACAGGCAAGGTCTGACTCCACAAGTCAGTTGTGCTGCCTCCATTTCCCCCAGGAATGACTCACTCTGCCCACTGTGGCCTGTGCTGCTGATCTTGGGTACTGCAAGCAATCTGCACTGCGCGTTTAGACCCATACTAAAGAGGTCAGGTCCTGCAGCCTGGGAGTTTGATTTTAAAAATCAGTAGCTCCATTTCCAAACCCTTGGCTTTCCCCCTACAAGACCAGGCAGGCCTGTGCTACTTAATTGATTCCGAAGGAGAAGATCAAGGTCCAATGTAATCTAACCAAGTACAATTCGCTCTCCAGGCAACAAGCGCCTGGAAGTCACAGGAATTGCCTCCTCTAGAAATAACAGTGATCAGATAAGCTAAAAACTGACAAGAGAAGCTAAAAGTGGAAGATCTGTTGGATGTTTATGACACATAAATTTCAGAATGCCGACACACTGTTTTCTACATACTTTCTGCTGGGAAAGGCAGTTGGGTGGGATACACGCTGAGTTAGGTGGGATGCATGCTAGACTGGGAGTCCCAGCTCTGTCAGTAACTTGTTGCTTGAATTTGGCTAATACTCTGCATTTTTTTTTTTTTTTTTGTGAGACAGAGTCTTGTTCTGTTGTCCATGCTGGAGTGCAGTGAAATGATCTCGGCTCACTGCAACCTCTGCCCCCGGGGATACAAACCATCCTTGTGCCTCAGCCTCTCAAGTAGCCAGAGATTACAGTGTATACCAACATGCCCAGATAATTTTTTGTTATTTTTAGTAGAGACAGGGTTTTGCCATGTTAGCCAGGCTAGTCTCGAACCCCTGGCCTCAGGTGATCTGCCTGCCTAGGCCTCCCAAAGTGCTGGGATTGCAGGTATGAGCCACTGTGCCCTGTCTATTCCATATCTTTGGCCCTCAGTTTTTTCGTTTGTAAAAGGAAAATGTTGAACAAACATAAACCTGGTCTATACACATTCACATTTACATTTTTAAACTATGTGGGCCAAACAAAGCCTACCAGCAAGCTACCTAAGCCCATAGCCACCACTGCCACGTGGGCACTATGCGAGGGGTCAGCAAAACCTTTCCGTAAAGGACCAGATAGTAAATATTTTAGGCTTTGCAAGCCCAGAAGCAAAACTGTGGGTATTATGTACTTACATTAACAAGAGAAAAAAAAATCCTACCAATGTTTTATTGATTCAATTCAAAAGATAATCATTGAGTACAATATTTTAGACTACAGGTCTACTAATGAAAGAAATGGAATTTCTGGAGAAGAAACCAATTTTGCTTCATTTGATTTCAAGTTAGTGTTTTCTATCATCAAATCGATTATAAAGGTTCTTCTGTAATACCATTCTTAGCTTACAGGGCAGTGGGTGGGATACACCGGCCTGCAGCTGCTGAATATTGCATTAGATGGTCTCTAGCAGGGTGCTCAGATGGCCTGGTCTGCTGGGGTCAGGCCCTGTGTGTGTCTATGGTCTCTGCTTAATGATTAATAGTGACTCTTTTCCCTCCCAAAAGGGTTCTGTTTGGATGACAAATTATTTAGTAGTTTTCTGATTTATAGCAGATTTATAGGAAAGTGCTTATAAAGTGCTTATACTGCGAATTTTATTCATGGTGAGTTGAGAACTAACCACATTTAGAGCCAAATTAAACAGGGCTCTTAATGTGGTTAGTTCTCAAAACGCACCATGAATAAAAATCACTTGGGAATTAACAACAACAACAAAAAAACAAAACAAAATAAATAAGATGCATGGCCCCCGCTTCCTACACTTGATCTTAGCCAAAAGGCCGAGAAGCGATTTGGTCCCCACTTCCTAATTCAATTAGTCAGGGTGGGACTCAGGCATCTATCTATCTATCTATCTATCTATCTATCTATCTATCTATCTATTAGTCATCTATCATCTATTATCTATCTATCTAGATCTATCATCTATCTACCTGTTGTCTATCTACCTACCTACCTACCTATTGTCTATCTATCCATCAATCATCTATCTACTTATCTATAGGGTTGTTTTTTTTTTTTAAAAAAGAAAAACTCTGGTTCTCATGCACAGCCAGGGTTGTGGGAGCATTCAGGGAATTTTAGGACACATGGCTTGACAGCGAGGGGGCACCTAACCGCTGCATGAAACTGCAGTGCACAAGAACCTCCCTGTGGCCAGAAAGATGTGTGTGCAAAGCCTTGTGGCAGGAGGCGGGTAGGCATCAGGAATGGCCTTACTTTGTAGGCACTGAGGACCTGTAGAGTGTTTCCAGATGACAGCTTTAGCTGGGTCAGTTCTTGATTCCTTGCTTCAATTGTCTCTAGAAATTGAGCATTCTCTATCTTCAACTGCTGAAAATCAACCTCATGAAGGGCCTCGCCCACTTCTTCCTTCTACAGCTCAGAAAGATGAAAGAAAAGATGATACATCAGTTGTGATTCTGAATGTATGGCTCACATCTTGCAACTCTTGATAAGACTTTGAAGGTCAGTCATCTTTCAGTCATTCAACAAACACATACTGGGCATCTGGAAATAGAGATTGCAGTAAATACAATGTTCCCTGGCCCCATGGAGTACATCTGAGGGTTTACAGACAAGCCATTGACTCAATAGCATGGTGCAGTGGGATGTGTTCTTCGGGGGAATGTTGGGGAGTGGGGCAGAGGACACACAGAAGCCCCTAAGCCAGGCCAGGGGAGGATGAAAGACTGAGTCACACACAGAGGGCATCCCACAGGGGGTCGTGCCTAAACAGGGCCATGAAGGAAGAGTAAGAATCAGGCCATTTAAAAGTTGTATTTAACATGAAAAACCCTAGAAAAGCAGCCCATAGATTCCCCCTCCTTTGATCATCTGCTATTTCTGCCTGCAGTGCATCAGTGTATAAGGTTCCCTCCCTGACCTGGCCCCCTTACCAGCCCTGCCAGGCCTATGCCATTTTATATTTGTGGTAGACAATAGCCCTACTTGGGAACTGCTGTGCCTCACTCCCACGCCTCACTCATGCTGTCTGTCCTACCTCCGGGGATTCATCTTCTTCCCCTTCCCAAAACAACACAACTTCCTTAAGCCCCAATACAATCATGCCTCTAGCTCCAATGCTCCCAACCTGTTTTCCACACCAGAGGGTGACCTCTCTCTCTGCTGAGCCCCTGGAAGCTTTAACTCTGTGGTCCTTGGTATGTAGCTTCTGTATACACAGTTATACATACACACCTTTTCTCATGACACTGCTGCCCACTAGTCTATGAGCTCTCAAGGGCAGAGCCCGTGTCTGTGTTATTTCTGTGTAGCAGCAGCATTAAAGATGATCCATCTATTCTCTATCTCTAGCTTAAAGCCCTTCTTCAAGATGCCCGTGCTTGCAAGAATCCCCAAGTACCCGGAACTGACGATCTGCAGACAGCTCCACTGGGACCACTCACTGCAGAACTTTTTCTTGCACTGAACTCAAATCTCCTTCCCTGACACCTCCATTCACGGCCCCAGCTCTGCTCTCCCTTCCTGCTGCAGCCCTGAGCACTTGGAGACAGTGGCTGTGGCCCTCCTGGGCCCTCTCTCCTTTGGGTGCATCAGTCTCAGGCTCTTGGACATGGTTTCTATTCTTGACATCTGGCCTGCTCTCTGTGTGAACTCTAGTTTGCCAATTCTTTCAAGGGTGGAGCACATCCTGTGACACGACACTCCAGGTGGGGGATGCGCATGCAGAATAAAGCAAGGCTACCCCTTCCTTGGTCTAGACACTGTGTTTCTTTGAGTGTAGCCTAGGCCACAGCATCACCACCAGCCAAGCTGACTTTATCACATACTCTACGACTAAGCCATCCTGTTCCTGAGCAGGTATTTTGGGGGATCAAAAGTATAGGATCTTACGCTTGTCCTTCGTCACCTCATGCTGTTAAATCTGTCCCAGCTTGCTGAGGTCTTTCTGGATCCCAAGTCACCCAAGCAATAGGCTCCCAACATATTAATTCTCCTGCCCAGTTTTGTGTCCTTGTCAGGAGCCCCCTTTGATGAGCATGCCATCAGTGCCCAAATTCGAGTTAGTGATAAAAATATTGAGCTAGGAAAGGACGGAGCCACGTCTGCCTTACTGCCTTTCATTAGGAGCCATCAGGGTCAGCTGGTGGCGATGCTATGACACACCAAAGCACACGTCACTGTGCCACCCAGGCCACTTCCCAGAAAGGGCCAATAAGCATGTTTTGAGGGTCTTTTAAATTCAAGCCAACTCTGTCTACAGAAAAGCTTTGATTTGCCTGCACAGTCATTGTATGAGTTTCCTATTGCTGCTGTAACAAATCACCACAAACCTCATGGCTTTAATGCAAATTTATTATCTTACAGTTCTGGAGGTCAGGAGTCTGACATGGGTTTGGAGGCTGAAATCAACAGGGCTGCATTTCCTCCCAAGGCTCTATGGGAGAATCTGTTTCCTTGTCATTTCCAGCTTCTAGAAGCTGTCTGCAGTCCTTGATTCCTGACCCCTTTTCCCTATCGTGAATACTCATCACTCTGATCTCTGCTTCTGTTATAGCTTCTCTCACCCTCCTGCTTCCCTTTGGTAAGGGGGGAGATTATATAGGGCCACCCAGTTAATTCAAGATCATCTCCCCATCTCAAGATCCTGAAATTAATCACATCTGCAAAATCCTTTTTGCCACGTAAGTTAATGTATTCACAGATTCCAGGGATTAGGATATGGACATTTTGGAGTGGGGGTGAGAACCTTATTCAGTCTACCACGGTAACCTTAAAGAGAAACAGAGAGAGAGAGAGAGAAAGGACCACATACCTGCCTCAATTGTAAAAGCATTTTTTTCCTCTGAACTTTGAGAGAAACATTTTTCAAATGTAATTTCTCCTTCATATTATCCTAAAAAATAAAGGCACATTTTAATGCATTTAATTCATTTCTCTCCTCTTTCCTATTGGTTTGAAAAGTGGACGGTTCTGGGGCTGCAAACCAAACTTTAAGCCCTAACATTCTGTCATTTATTTTAGGTCCTTTTACTTCTATTCAGGCTGGGGCTGCTATGACATTTCATGACCAAGAAGCAGAGGACACTGGTTTTGCACCATGCAAATTTTATATTGCTTTCAAATTCAAGATTATTTGAGTGTATGCTACTGTAGGGGCCTTTCCTGACAAAATGACCTTATGATTTTTTGGTCTTGTATTCCCATGTTAGTTTACATAATTTTTATTACTTTTTTTTTTTTCTTTTTTTTTTGAGATGAAGTCCCGCTCTGTTGCCAGGCTGGAGTGCAGTGGCATGATCTCAGCTCACCACAACCTCTGCCTCCTCGGTTCAAGCAATTCTCCTGCCTCAGCCTCCTAAGTAGCTGGGACTACAGGCGTGTACCATCATGTCCTGCTAATTTTTCTATTTTTAGTAGAGACGGGTTTCACCATGTTGGCCAGGATGGTCTCCATCTCTTGACCCCCTGATCTGCCCGTCTCGGCCTCCCAAAGTGCAGGGAGTACAGGCATGAGCCACTGCGCCCGGCCTTTATCACTCTTAACATGTTAGGGTTAGTAACCCTACTTTGTCTCCAGGATCTGTAGCTTGACATGTTGTAAAGTCTCTGGAAATGAAGGAGTAACCCCCAAATTCTCCTTTTTTCTCATAACAGCCCAAGGTCCATCTCCTGATAACAAAGGAACTCAAAGAGCTTGAGATTTACCCTGTAATCCCAGCACCTTGGGAGGCCAAGGCGGGTTCACTGCTTAAGCCCTAGAGTTCGACACCAGTCTAGGCAACACATCTTTATAACAATTTTTTAAAAGGTTTTTGAAAAATCTGAAAAAGAGATTTATCTGTCCTACTCCAAAGTCACCTCTCTAGACAGGTTGGACAAGCCCAACCTCATACTTTTCTCAAGAAAATACATCAGATCTTGAAACATATAACAAAACAAACAAACAGAAATCAACCTGAAGTACTATTGGTGTTAGCCTTGATAAACATGCATTTAAATTTTTTTTTTTTTTTTTTTTTTTGAGATGGAGTCTTGCTCTGTTGCCTAGGCTGGAGTGCAGTTGTGCAATCTCGGCTCACTGCAACCTCCGCCTCCCAGGTTGAATCAATTCTCCTGCCTCAGCCTCCCAAGTAGCTGGGATTACAGGCATGTGCCACCATGTCCAGCTAATTTTTATATTTTTAGTAGAGATGGGGTTTCACCATGTTGGCCAGGCTGGTCCTCGAGTTCAGATGATCGCCTGCCTCAGCCTACCAAATTTCTGGGATTACAGGCGTGAGCCACTGTGCCCAACCACAAACATACATTTTAAAACATGCATATACTCACACACTTTAGGGGATGCAAAAAAAATCTGCATATGTGGGCAACATGTATGGTGGACCAAATGGAGCTAGGCTGCTTCACATGGATGATTTCCATAATATCCCTCAAAGAATGTTTTCCGTTTCTAAGCTCTGTCTGCAAACTCGTCTGCCAACTCACCCTCCGGCGGTTCATGTCCTCGATGTACTTCATCACTTTCTGAGTGGCCAAAATACTCCCTTTCTTCTTAGATATGGCTTTTAGAATATCTTTTTCAAACTCGTGCACTGCTCTCTCAACTTCATCCCATCGAATTTCAGCCTCCTCAATGATCGCCTGGGGGAGTCAGCACAAAGAGAAAAGAGCATTTCCAAAACTCTTCAAGGATGTGTCCTCTGAGAACCTAAGTTCCCAGGCCTCTTTGTGTCCCAAAATATTATGTTTCTTCTTAGTCTTAGGAACATATCCTTAAGATACAAACTTGACTACAGCTAGTGCTCGACTTACGACCACGGTCGGGACCACGGACCGGTCATATCATGATTTGGTCGTAAGTTGAGTAGGCTATATGTACAGTTGAAATGGTGCACGTGGAGATGGTAGCGCTGCCGGAAGCTGGTCCGCACTGTCGTACGCCCAGCTGGGCAACATTTGCGCTGCCAGACGCGGAGCAGTCGTGGCTAGCTATTGTGGTCGTAAAGTCGAATGGTCCTAAGTTGCATAGGTGGTAAGTCGATCAATACCTGTATTTCAATGCTATTAGTTAAAAGCATTCTTCAAAAAATAGAATCCATAAAAACGGAGCAAACAAAAACAGGATGTCAGGTAGCTATCTTTTTTTTTCTTTTTTTGAGACAGTCTCACTCCATTGCTCTGTTGCCCAGGTTGGAGTGCAATGACACAAATTCAGCTCGTTGTAACCTCCAACTCCTGGGTTCAGAAAATTCTCCTGCCTCAGCCTCCCGAGTAGCTGGGATTACAGGTACCCGCTACCACGCCAGGCTAGTTTTTGTATTTTTAGTAAAGAAGGGATTTCACTATGTTGACCAGGCTGGTCATGAACTCCTGATCTCAGGTGATACACTCACCTGAGCCTCCCAAAGTGCTGGAATTATAGGCATGAGCCATCATCCCTGGCCAAGTTATCTATCTAAATATGCATTTCCATATTTGAAATTATTTATCCATTAAAATATCTGGAAGGATATACATCAAAACACGAACCACAGTTACATCTAGAGAGATGGATTAGTGGGGAAATAAAGAGGCACTCTTACTAGATACTTCTGTTACTTTTAAAAAAAAGACGTTATATTTCCAAGCCTGAGTATTTGTGGGGGGCGGGAATGGAAAAAAAATAAAGAAGATATTATAAAGCCAGGTATGGTGCCTGTAGTCCCAGCATAGGCAAGAGGATTACTTGACGCCAGAAGTTCAAGGCTGTCATGTGCTATGATCACGACCATGAATAGCCACTGCACTCCAGCCTGAGCAATACATCGAGGCCCCATCTCTGAAAACTAAAAAAAAGGATTTTACAACATGAATATCTGTACTGACATAAATAGATGTTAAATGAAAAATACAGTTTAGAAAATAATGTGATACTATTTTTTAAAAGAAATTCATATATGCATAGAAAATTATCTATAGGAGGTAAATGGAAAGTCAACAGAAATTACCTCTGAGTGGTAAATTGTGAATTTTTTCAAATGTTCTTTTAGCTTAACTGTATTTTTCAATATTCTACAACATAAATTGACTTGAAATAAGAACACACACACACACACACACACACACACACACACACACACACAATTATAATATTTTTTTCACCATGTTGGCATGGATGGTCTCGATCTGTTGACCTCATGATCCGCCTGCCTGGGCCTCCCAAAGTGCTGGGATTATGGGCATAAGCCACCATGCCCAGCCACATACAGTAATTACTTTAAAAACTAAAATGGAATGATGTCTGTAGCCAGACTGCAAATCATCCTAATTCAGGCTTTTTTTCTCAGCACCAAGAAGCAAAACCATTTTCACTGGCCAGCCTCAGGCACCAGCCTCTTCCCAGCCCCATCATCTCCACGTGGTAGAACATTAATCCACCTGAAACGCTGCTTTCAACATGTTGCTCTCCTACTCAAGTATCCTCAGTGGGGTCCAGCTTTCTAAGACATCAGAGATAAACTCCTTGGCATGGCTGTCAAGAAGTTGCTGCCTGACTCAACCTGAATTCCTAACGCAGCCTCCAAAGCATCCTCTTCTCTAATTGCACCATCTTCCTCAATGTCATGAGCTCGCCATGCTGGTGCCCACCTCTGCTGCATTGCTCATGTCATTCTCCTTACCTGGGGTACCCTTCTTTCCCTGTGCCTTAAACAGATGCCATCATTCTTCAAGATCATGCCAAGTCCCTGTTAAGCCCTACCTCCTCAACAAATTCATTTTGACCACTCTAGCCCACACTGATCTCTCTCTCTCTCTCTGCACTTGATGCTTACACTGCACAACCTAGCAGGTCAGGATAATGCTACCACATCCCAAGCTCCTTTAGCTTGCTAGAATTCAACCACGCATGTTTGGAAAGAGAGAGGGGTGAAAGAGTGGGATCAGTTGATGTGATACAGATGGTTTTATCAATAGGAGACTGAGTCTACAGACTGGTCCCTCTTGAGATGAGTGTGACTCTGTGAATGCCCACATTTAGAAACAGAAAAATAGAAAAACTTTAAAAATATAACAGAAGCATCTATTTTTCATACAACATGGCTCTCAAATGCAAGCCAACAACGTCATCCTGTGGGCAACTGAATTAACAGTGATGTTTCTTCTCTGGAGGAAACTGTATTGGACTAAGAGACACTATACTGGTCTGTAATAGGGCATGAACCATGGGCACGTGTGCTGTATAGAAATGCTGACCTAGGGACTTTTCACTCCATTCACTGTGATGGTTAATATTAGGTGTCAACTTGACTGGATTCAGGGATGCCGAGATAGGTGGCAAAGTATTGTTTCCAAGTGTATCTGTGAGGGTGTTCCCAGAAGAGATTGATATTTGAGTCGGTGGATTGGGAGAAGATCCACCCTCCTCAGTGTGGGTGGGCACCATCCAATTGGCTGCCAGAGCAGATAGAGCAAAGCAGGCAGAAGAAGGCAGATAAGCTTGTGTGCCGAGTCTTCTGGCTCTCCCTCTTCTTCCCATGCTCGACAATAGCTTTTGCTCCTGCTGCCCTCAGACATCAGACTCCAGGTTCTTTGCCTTGAGACCCTGGGACTTGTACCAGCAGCTTCTCTGGGGCTCCAGGGAGTTCAGCCGCAGACTGAAGGCTGTACTGTTGGCTTCCCTGGTTTCAAAGCATTTGGACTTGGACTGAGCCACTACCAGCTTCTCTCTTTTCCCAGCCTGCAGATAGCTGATCAATCATGTGAGACTTTGCCTTGCAATCATGTGAGCCAATTCTCCCTAACCAACTCCCTTTCATACAGACATGTATGCTATTGGTTCTGTCCCTCTCGAGAACCCTAATACACTGACTTAAACCTCAAACTCCCGGTATTATTAAGAAATTCTTGTAAAATTTTAAGAGCATTTAGGGTTATCATGATTATGTCTTCTAAAAGAATTCATATATTAAAGATATATACTGAAATATGTACAGAGAAATAGTATGTCTAGAATTCACTTTCTAGTAACTCAGCCAGATGAAGGGAAAGTTGATCAACCAAGAGAGGCCCTATATTGATGATCACTGCACCTGGGTGTTGAGTACATAGGGGTTTGTTGTGCTAGCCTCTCTACATTTGTGTATTTTTAAAATATCCCATTTAAAAAGTTTAAAAATGTGTTGTCCCCTCAAGCAGGTGGTAAGTTCCTCAAAGGTAGGCTCTGGATTCTCCTCATTCTACTAGTGTTTATTCTAAAGCCCCAACAATCACATGCACCCACTCTAGGTACATCTCACCGGCGCGGAGGTGGGGAGCCTGGGCATCACGGGCTGCGCCTGGAAGAAGGTGTACCTCATGATGCTGCAGGTCACGTTCCGCATTTGCCCTCATGCGCCGTAGGTCATCCTTTGTGTCTTCCAGCTCCTTTTGTACTAGCTCGAGTTTTTGGTCGACAGTCAGGACCATCCCACGATCCACACCTGTCCGGGATTTGGATCTACGCCTGCCTCGAAACTGCAACGCAAGAGAAACAAAATCATTGTCAAAGAGGAATTAGTAATGAACCAGCCCAAGGTGGGCGTCAGCATGATCCTCTGACCTGCTAGAAGTTCCCCAGAGTGACAGCCAGGGAGAACAAATGAGAAAAAATTCAAGGTAAAAGGATGCTGGATATTAGACCTGAGGTGACGTTTATTTCTCAAGTCATCCTAAGCCCCTGCACTAAATACTTCAAAGGCCTATGTTTGACAATGAACTGGAAATAAATAAGGGTAAACATCTTGAGGGTGGGAAGGCTGTGAATCCATTATAGCCTAGCATTCAAGTCAAAGTGGGGGGAAGCTCAGAGGTGAACTTTCCTGAGCTGAACACAGAAAAGAAACTGCATCTGGGTCGGGGGGTGGGGGCAGGAGCGGCTGGGGTTGTGTTCAGCAAAACAGACAAATAAACATCTTGGATTTTCTATGCATTTAAGGCAAAGGTTGGAAGTGGGTGGTCCAGGGTACATACAGGTTTGCTTGGCCCTCAAAGGATAAGCCTACACAGAAACCCCTTTGAGACAAGGGTCCGTGCCAGGACTGCTTCCCTTCTTTTGGTGGTTGGCTGGCCCTTGTAAACAGTTGAGTCCCTCAATTTAAATGAATTCTTGTTTGTTTGAAACAAGATCTTGAAACAAGGTCTTGCTCTGTTGCCCAGGCTGCAGTACAGTGGTGTGATCACAGCTCACTGCAGCCTCAAACTCCCGGGCTCCAGCAATCCTCTCATCTCAGCCTCCCAAGTAGCTAAAACTACAGATGCATGTCACCACATCTGGCTAATTTAAGAATTTTCTTTTGTAGAGATGGGGTCTTGCAATATTCTCCAGGCAGGTTTCAAACTCCCAGCCTCACATGATCCTCCCACCACAGCCTTCCAAAGCGCTGGAATTACAGGCCTGAGCCACTGCACCTAGTCAAAGGGAATTCTTTTAAGTAAACTAAGATATACTGGGAGAGTCAATCCACTATTAACTGAACCCAATTGCCTTCACACTCACTTGAAAGAAAAACCCTAGAGCGGCAAAGAAAAATCGAAAATAAAACAGGGAGAAGAAGGTCCCATGGTCAATTGGCCACAGAGGGCACACCAAAGGCAGATATACAAATACCACTTGCATTTAAGGGGACAAACAATAAAAGAATGTTCTAGATCTCCATTGCGTACCTGTGCATAATCTGCTGCTGACATTTTAATTTCTGATAATCGTAGAAGTCGAAGATCCCTGGGCTCCAGTTTAATGTAATATTTCTCAAACATCTCTGTCTCAGTTTTGAGAGCAGAGTTTAAATAGCTGCAAGACAGGGTACCTGAGTAAGTTCTAGTAATAAGAGTTTAAACCCCAAATAACTAGTGTTTAATAACTAGTGGACCTGCAAGATCCCTTAGCCTCTTGGTGCCTTAGTTTCCTCACCTATAAAATGGGCATATGAATAGCATCTAACTTTTAGGGTACATCCAATAAGGAAGACAAAGCCTTTAGGACAGGGCCTGACACACAGTAAGTGCTATATATTTGATATTTTTATTAATATGTTTAATGAGCTACAAAATGCAGAAAACTAGTATTACATTGAAAATTGTCATAGGTTTCATCTTCAAATATCATTGAACCCATTTGGGAAATTCTTTCTGAATTACTATATATATATATACATATTATGATTTTATATATATAGTATGAATACACACACACACACACACACACACACATATATATATATATATATATATAGAGAGAGAGAGAGAGAGAGAGAGGTTTTCACTCTGTTGCACTCACTGTAACCTTGAACTCCTGGGATCAAGCAATCCTCCTGCCTCAGCCTTCTGAGTAGCTACAACTGCAGATGCACGTCGTACCTGGCTGATTTAAAATTGTTTTTGTAGAGGTGGTATCTTGCTATGTTGTCAAGGCTGGTCTCAAACTCCTGGCCTAAAGTAATCCTTCCACTTTGGTCTCCCAAAGTGCTGAGACTACAGGCAATAGCCACTGTGCCCAACCTGAATTACTATATTCTTGAAGTTATACACACCCACAATCTTCAGAAGTTTCCTTTGGTTTGTATCTTTCAGTTCTTTTATTTCCAGCATCCAATAGATAAAAAGTATTAACTGGAAGTTTATCAAAAACTTTGAACTGGCCGCGCGCGGTGGCTCAAGCCTGTAATCCCAGCACTTTGGGAGGCCGAGGTGGGTGGATCACGAGGTCAAGAGATCAAGACCATCCTGGTCAACATGGTGAAACCCCGTCTCTACTAAAAATACAAAAAATTAGCTGGGCATGGTGGTGTGTGCCTGTAATCCCAGCTACTCAGGAGGTTGAGGCAGGAGAATTGCCTGAACCCAGGGGGCGGAGGTTGCGGTGAGCCGAGATCGCGCCATTGCCCTCCAGCCTGGGTAACATGAGTGAAACTCCGTCTCAAAAAAAAAAAAAACAAAACAAACAAAAAATAAAACTTTGAACTGAGCAACAGATAACATACCTACTTTATCCTGTATATGCCAAGGTTATAACCTTTTTAACTTCTCATATGTGTGTACGTGTTACATACAAGTATGTATATGTATGTATACGAGAGAGAGGACAACTTTGACGTTTTCATGTGTTATTGATCTATTAGGCTGGTCAGAAAGTAACTGCAGTTTTTGTTATTACTTTTAATATTCCTGTTTGGCTGAATTTTAAGACTAGTGAAGCCAGGCGCAATGGCTCATGCCTGTAATCCCAGCACTTCGGGAGGCCAAGGCAGGGGGATCACCTGAAGTCAGGAGTTTGAGACCAGCCTGACCAACATGATGAAACCCCGTCTTTACCAAAAATACAAAAATTAGCTCGGTGTGGTGGTGGGCGTCTGTAATCCCAGCTACTCAGGAGGCTGAGGCAGGAGAGTCATTTTAACTTGGGAGGTGGAGGTTGCAGTGAGCTGATAACACACCACTGCACTCCAGCCTGGGCAACAGAGTGAGACTCTGACTAAAAAACAAACAAACAAACAAAAAACTAGGCTGAATGGAAAGCACAATACATCAAAGTATCTTGCTTTTTCGAGGTGTATGTAGCCTGCGGAGATGCACCTGAGTTTGATGCCCAGCACTACCATTGACTTGCTGTGTAAACTTAGGGCATGGACTTAACCTCTGTGTCTTTGTTTCCTTACCCACCTCTTAGGGTTGCAGTGTCATTATATAAAGTCATATATGTAAATGCATGGTACACAGAAGCACTAAAAAATGATAGCTATTAGTAATATACCTCAGTTCTGAACTAAGGTACTTGTAGATGTACAGAAGTAACATCTATTCAGCTGCTAAAGCTAGGATATTCTGTGCAAGACCAGTAAGTTGTACAACTAATCTTAACTTCATCATGGAATCTTGATATCCAATTTACTTGCTATAGTAGTAGATATAAAGCAAACTGCCAAAATAAAATAAATGTAGAATATTGGGCCACTCATTCTTTACTGTCTGTTTACCTAGGTTCAGCACATGTTGCCACACACTAAAACCATCTCAATAGCTTGCTTTCTATTCTGCTGCCGTATTAGTTTTATCATAGAATTTTTTTTTTTTTTTTGAGACAGTAGTCTCTTTCTGTCGCGCAGGCTGGAGTGCACTGGCGCGATCTCGGCTCACTGCAACCTCCGACTCCCGAGTTCAAGTGATTTTCCTGCCTTAGCCTTTTGAGTAGCTGGGATTACAGGCGACCGCCACCATGCCTGGCTAATTTTTATATTTTTACTAGAGACGGGGTTTCACCATTTTGGCCAGGCTAGTCTCGAACGCCTGACCTCAAGTGATCCGCGCGCCTCCACCTCTTAAAAGTGCAGGGATTATAGGCGGGAGCCCCGGCGCCAGGCCTTATCATAGAATCTTAGCATCAGAAAAACCTGCCGCTGCAGAATTGTGGATCTGCTGAGCACACCGTCTGGCACAACAGAGACTAATCTGGTTGAAACTCTCACTTCCCTAATTACCCTCTGGGCTTCCTACCACTGGCCGCACCCCCTCTTCCCACCACCGCATTCTAGCTCCGTCAACGGCTTGGTGGCTCAGGTGGTGGAGACGCAGAGGTAAAGAGGCAAAGTCTCCCCAGAAAGGGCTTGGATCTTCTCCATGCTGGTCCCCAGCTCCGAGGCCGCCAGGGAAGGAGGGCCCAGGAGGAGAAGGGGCGGCCCCCAGGCATGGCCGCGGTACCTGAGCTCCTCCACCAGCCCGCACAGCTGGATAACAGGCAGCTCCTGCTCCGACCCTTCTTGGGACTCGGAGAGGACGCTCTCGGAGTCATCATCAGTCATCACTGCCGTAGCGGTCCCCCGCCAAAGCCGACTGTGCCCAGAAACTCCGGCTGCCGGCGCCCCCACGTCACTCTGGCTGCGACGCGGCGGTGCGTTGCCCGGGCGACCGGACGCGAGGAAAGGGGTGGAGCTTCCGACGACCCCGCCCCGTGCTGCCCCGCAGGTTTCCTCAAGGACCCAGCCAGGTTGCTGGCCTTGAGCGCACACCTGAGCGCGTTCACTTTCACTTCTTTAACAATAACTCTTAAATTGAGAGTAATAATAGCAGCTGCTGTTTCTCAGTGCTTACTGTGTCCTTGGCGCCCTGTTAACTACAGTTTAAGCAAACCTTCGCCACAACCTTGTAATGATATCCATCACTCTTTCCATTCTCCAAATGAGGAAACTGGGGCCCAGGAAGTTATCAGGGTGTCCTTCTTCCCCTATCTTGCTGGAAGGCCCCAGCTCTGTTCACCACCTGGTGCTTCCTACAATCTCTGAGAGAACAGCGGCTTCTCTCAGATGTTAACATTCTGCATTTCTGGAAGAAAAAAAACGTGGCTGATTAAAAATGGGTATACATTCAAGATACATCCCTAAACAGTCACTGAATATCTACTGTGTCCTTGGTGTCTGTAAGGGTTATTCTCTGTAAGGTTTATTGCCAAGTTTAAAATGAGGAAACTGAGGCCTGCATGAGAACAATTAGATGCCAATTCGGCTCCTGGGCGAGGTTCTATGTTCCAGGGAAAGGGAACCAGAGAAGTCACGCCTGAGCCTCAGGCATGGGGTTAGATAGGGAGGGAAGGCGCTCTGATTGGCTGTGGAGAAATAGGATGTGGCCGTGGCAAGCTGCTATAGGTAAGCAGGCTGGATTTCCAGTGAGTGGGCTGGACAGGGCAATGCGTTATTGGGCAGGTTTTGGCAGGGCTTCTTTTAAATTTTGGTGGAGTTTTCCAACGGCTGGCTAGGTGCCGAGTGCAGAGTTTAGTGTCAAGTGCAGATCCTGGTGCTGAGTGCAGAGGGAATGTCCAACGGCGGGCTAGGTGCCGAGTGCAGAGGTTAGTGTTGAGTGCAGAGGTGGGCATGGCGAAGCTAGATGCTGAGTGCAGATTCTGGTAATGTAATTTTCAGGCGTGAAGAGGGATACGCGTCTCCGAGCTTCCAGCGAGGCAGCCGGCCTTAAGGTATCCTAGAGGGAATGTCTAGAAAAGACCACTCTGATCCTCAAGGAGCTTCCAACTAAATGAGGGAAGCAGCCTCTAAAGAAGCCGCTACAACCTGGGGTACCTACAGCAACATCATGCGTCACACTGTGCTTGGTAGTCATCTCCTGAAATCCTCAAAACAGTTGGGTACAATTCGTATTACTGCTGTCATCTTACAGATCAGAAAACCAAGGACTGGAGTAGCTTAGGTTCCATTCCACTCAAGAATGGAATCAAGCGCCGGTGGAACCCAAAGTCCATGCTGTTAACTTCTATGCTGATGTGTGACATGGCAAGGATCAGGGAGGCAACACGGGAGCTCTCTGTCTGCTCCCTATAGGGATAAAAGAGGACACAGGGCAGGACAGGGAGACTTCTCTTAGGGAGGGTGAGCTCTGGATGTGCTTAAAAAGCAAGCTGTGATACACTGCTTGGGGTGCGGGTCAGCTCCCCCTTCTCCTGCAAGGGGCATGCTTTAGCATTGACAGGCACTCACTAGATCTGAGGGAGGGCTTTTGTTTTGCTGCTTAGGGTGCACAAGGTTGGGGCCAGAGTAGAATTACTGAAGATAACAGCGGAGAGCCTGAGCCCTACCACCTTATTTCTGGCAGTAGGCCTCTTTAGGTTCTAAGGGCAAGGCAGACCACATTTAGGAACACTTAATATGTCCATATACAAGGTGATGCAAATGGATGCTATCCCCACTGACATAGACAGTCACCAGCTCCAAGTGAACCCAGAGCAAGAAAGGGCCCTGTAGCAAGTCAAGGCTATGATGCAAACAGCCCTGCCAACTGTGCTGTGTGATACAATAGACTCTATGGCATTGGGGGTGTCAGTGGTGAAAAAAAGATGCAGCAGGCATCTTAAAGCAAGACCCAGCAGGAGAATCACAGCAAAGGAGCCAGGACTCTGAAACAAGACCATGCAATACACAGCAGAGAATTGTCTTTTGAGAAAAACTCCTGGCCTGTTACTATACCCTGGTAGAGACAGAACACTGGATACATAGGGTACCAGGTGATCATGCATCAGTCCTGCCCACTACCAGCTGGGTTCCACTGGACCCACTGAGTCATTAAGTAGGACAGGCCAAGCCCCAGAACACTGCAAATGGAAATGGTTAATCCAGGATTGGGCCTCAGCAGGATCAGGAAGCATGAGCAAGCTGCATGAGCAGGTAGCCCAGGCCAGCATGGCACCCACCACATTTGCACTAGGATCCCTCCCCCAGCTCCAATGTATGACTGTATTTGCAGGAAGTTGGGAGTTCATGACCACCTGGAAGAGAAGGAAAAGGCTTGAGTTCAGTTCACAGATGGGCTGGCTTAGAAGCCAAAAATGGACAGTGGCTTCATTACAACCACTTCATGAAAGGTGGTGAAAGACAGTGGAGAGGAAAAAGCTTCCCAATTGGCAGAGTTGTAAGTGAGGGTGCAGCTGGTCATCTATTTTGTGTGGAGAGAGAAAATGGTCCCAGGGGACCCATCTGATTGGCAACTTTTTTGTTTTTTGTTTTTTGGCAGGAGGAGTTTATTTTTATTTTTTTTGAGACAGGGTCCCACTCTGCTGCCCAGGCGGGAGTGCAGTGCAGTGGCGCAATCATAGCTCACTGCAACCTTGAAGTCCTGGGCTCAATTGATCCTCCCACCTCAGTTTACGGAGTAGCTGGGACTACAGAGGCATGCCACCATGCCTGGCTAATTTATTTCTTGCTCTCTCTCTTTTTCTCTCTCTCTCTCTCTCTCTCTCTCTGTCTCTTTCTTTTCTTTCTTTCAGATGGGGGTCTCACTATGTTGCCCATGTTAGTTAGTCTGGAACTCTACCCTTGAGTGATCCTCCTGCCTCAGCCTCTCAAAGTGTTGGGATCACAGGCATGAGCCACTGTACCTGGCCTAATTGGCATCATGGACTCAAAGACTCCCCATCAGGCTGGCTGGAACTTTGTTAGCACTGTGCTTTGATCTGAGATGCTTGCTCCCTGGGGCTCCCTCCCTCCTCTCCCAGATGTCATCACAGTGGGAGGCTGTCCTTGTCTACTCCAGCTTCCTCTCCTTTGTCCATCACAGACGCTTTCCCCAAGAAATAGATCTCTTCATGTCTAATTTTATCTTGGTTTGGAGGACTCAAGCCAACACAAAGAATAAATTTCAATCTTAATGGCATTATTCTAATTTGGTAACATATTACACGTATGAACTAAAATTTGCACTTGCCAAACAAAAATATTGTTTGGATCACCCTTTTGTTCAAGCTGTTTTATATGTTTTAAAAATTGTGGTTAAAAAATACATAACATGGCCAGGCACAGTGGCTCACTCCTGTAATCCCAACACTCCGGGAGGCCAAGGCAGGTGAATCACCTGAGGTCAGGAGTTCAAGACCTGGCCAACATGGCAAAATCCTGTCTCTACTAAAGATACAAAAATTAGTGGGGCATGGTGGCAGGCACCTATAGTCCCAGCTACTTGGGAGGGTGAGGCAGGAAAAAATCACTTGAACCCGGGAAGCAGAAGTTGCAGTGAGCCAAGATCTCGCCGTTACACTCTAGCCTAGGCAACAGAGCAAGACTCTGTCTCAAAATAAATAAATAAATTAATTAATTTAAAAAAAAATAAAATTTACCATCTTTTTTTTTTTTTTTTGAGACAGAGTCATGCGCTTCTTGCCCAGGCTGGAGTGCAGTGGTGTGATCTCGGCTCACTGCAACCTCCGCCTCCCAGCTTCCAGTGATTCTTCTGCCTCAGCTTCCTGAGTAGCTGGGATTACAGGTGTGTGCCACCACACCTGGCTAATTTTTGTATCTTTAGTAGAGATGGGGTTTTACCATGTTGGTCAGGCTGGTCTCGAGCTCCTGACCTCGTGATCTGCCCGCCTCAGCCTCCCAAAGTGCTAGGATTACAGGCGTGAGCTACTGCGCCCCACCATTGCCTTAACTTTTAAACACAAATTAAAATTCCAAAAAAATCACTCAGAATAACAAAACTGAAGTAACTCAAGTTCCATTTCTTTGTCTTTGCAATTACTGAACTATCATCATTTATTTTGAACCCATTGTTCAAATGCAAGAATATATTATATCACAGGAGCTGGAGATGAGAACTTCACCCAAAACAAGCCCAAACTTTTCCAAACCTATAGGAACTTATTCACAAAATGAATGAGTGTAGCTGCGTCTGTGTGTATCGGGGGATGATTATACAGCAAGGAGTTCTCTGAATTGAAATATGCCGATTTGGAGCCAAAATGTGTATCGTTAAAGCTCAATATGTAATATGTAATGTAATATGTAATGTAGCGGTTATTTAGGACTTAGAGCCACCCAGGAGTTTTGGGGGGAGGAGAATTTTGTTACTGTCATTGTTTAGAATTGCCACCACCTAGTAATAACAATCTTTAAAAGACCAACTTTTGGTCTTTTATTAGTGTTTTAAAGGTCTTTATAGACAAGGCAGTTCTAAGTTATTTCCTACACCATGGGTAGAACCTCCCGCTGCCCTGCTCTTGGTACCCATTGAGAAGTGACAATTCCTTTGGCAACAGCTGTCCTAGTACTCTGGACTTTCTCTGTAAGGGAAGGCACATGAGGGGTTACCACAGGAGGGGTTTCACGTGCCAAATGAGGGGTCTCCAGACTGTCACTTGATGAGCTTATTGAGACTCTGGAGTTTGGGAGCAAGGGGCTGACATCTGCCTCATGTCCCAAGAAGTTAAAAGTAGAGGCTGGGGGAATCTGCACATCTCAGCGGGAGGCAGGGCAGGGACTAACAGGGAGCAGGCTGCTCTGACATCAAGATGGGGCAAGAGAAAGGATTTTCATGGGTCAGATGTCTTCACAGAAAGAGGCTGGAGGCATACCGTAAATTGCAGAAGATGAAGAGGAATCTAAAGAAA